CAAATAAACCACGTCATGCTGGGTTGTTTTTTGTTGTTGTTGGTTTTTTTTTTTTTTTTGTTCTAATAGCTATAGTCACTTCAAAGTTAGATTAACTTGTCCTTTTGTGAACGTTGAAAAATCAATTTGCATAAATGAATAGCATGGGAGAAAGTGGAGGGAAGGAGCAATACTGAATAAATTGTCACCAGGGACTGTGGCCGTTCAGGTAAATGCAACAGGGTGGTATTGCTGCTAAGATCATCACAAGAAATTTACATTTTTATTCCTGTGAAGAGTGAGGTGCCTTACAGGGCAGTGTCAGGTTTTTCTTGGAAGTTTTAATGTTTTCCATCTCTGTTGTGGTATTATTCATGCATGGTTATTCAGAGTCCTAGAACAGACAGCTGCAGCAGCAGAGGGCAAAGACATGCTATTTATCTGTCTTGCAGTCAATTGCTGCAAAGCACTGGGACTGTTTCCGTTATGAATACATTTTCTGAGGCAGAGACTGGCCAGATACCTGTATTCATCTTTGTAAATTATTTTTATTCGGTTTTTTTTTTCAGACTGTAGTCCACGCAAGAAACAAAAGGAGCCAGTGCTTAGATACTACGGTGATGAGCGCTGTATAAAATCCTAAAATAGGTAGATGGAGCAAGACTGTTTTAAAAGGCAATTGAAAGTGTAAAACATATGGGCAGGACAAGCCTTTTAGCTGTTACCCAACACAAACCCCTCAATGGCCACTTATAACTGTTTGGACTCTGGAGAAGGTCCAAAAGGTAGTGTTGGACAAATAGTAGACAGTTTAGATGTGGCATTGTGGAATGCAAAGACAACAGGGGAGGTGGATCAGTCCTCACTTCCGCTAGCCATCTGTTGGTCTCATGTAAATTAGGCTCTTGGCTGTCACAGTAGAAAACTACAGCTTTGGTTCACGTTCCCTGACTTTCACTTTCTTTCTGAAAACTGAGAGTGCAACCCATGTGAAATTGCCAAACCTTTGCCAAGATTTGGGTGGAATTTTTGGCACATTTATGGATTCCAAGTGAAATAAAAGCTCAGTCCACACATGCTCGAAAACTCAGCCCTGGCTTGGAGATCTCTTGCAAACCTCGTTTGCTGGTTTGTAATCAGAGTCCCAGATATGTTGTCATTAGTTCAGAGCCTAGTTACTATGGTGGGAGATAGATACTTTGGTGGAAAGCTCATCTTGTTACTTTAGATAAGGAATGCACCACACATTTCCAACCTCTGTTGTTAACTCATTTTCCTTTAATATCTGTCTTTGCTATCAAGAATGAACCATTAACTTTTCTTAGTTTTATACTTTATTTAGTCATGCATTTCCCCCCACTCTTCCCTCCTCCCTATGGAAGTATGTAAGAAGAATCAAGTTCAGTATGTTAGAATTGCTTTAATAAACAAAAATGGTTAAACCATCTAAGAACTATAATAACACTTCTGTCGCTATGTGAAAGATTTGGTTTGGTTTTTCTTATATTGTAAATGATGTTTTAATAGACATTCAGGAAAAAGGCTGCTAAGTTATTCACTACTTTCTCTCTGACATGTCATGGGACATACTATAGATGAGGGTTGTCACAGTTCATGGCAACTACAAGCTGTATTTCCCCTGAGTGGCACAAAAGGGCACCCACTCTCAGCTTACAGCTCCCCAAATGTTGCCTCTTTTGGGTGGAGACATGTCTCTTTCTCTCTTGACTGGGGTATTTCCAGGCTGGACAGTTGCCTTTCCTTCGCTGCGTCATTCCCAGCACAGACAGGTTGCCCTAGGACACCTGCTTGCTTTCTCTTCAGAGACGGATAACAGTGTAATTGCTCCAGATATAAATTACCACACAACTCTTTCTAAGCAAGCTTACAAGCATTCCAGAGAAAACATATTGATAATAATAAAAGAACTTGCACACATGCTAATAAGCTTACCAGAGTTCATCCCAATACTTACATGGGCTCTGGCAAATGCACTCTTTTAATACCCACCCTAGGGGCATCATCATGGTTGCAAGTTCATCAGAGCTTCAGCTCAGAACAAGCACACAGTCTTATGAGGCCCCAGCTGGTCAACTTCTTCCAATCCTCCCCTAATAATTGGGGCCCTCTGTGGATCAGGGGTCCTGTCTGTTTGCTGGAACAGGAAGAAGCCCCTGGGGCAGGTTAACCCCAGTTTTTTATCCAAAAGTATTTTCTTTGTCTGATGGTCTCTGAAGAATCCAGTTTGAACTCTGCATTTCTCCCAGAGGGGGGTGACTTCAGAGGGTTGATAACGGAGGAAGTTTGTTAGCATCCCTCCTCCTCACCAGAGAAGGTACATACAGTGCCACAACAACACATACACACATGTGTTTTTAATGCTATGTACCTCAAAGATATTAATGCTAATTCAGTAAAGTTTAACTTAACTCACTAAACTTATCTTAATTGCATAAGGTTTGCTCATGGGATATTGTCAAGTCTGCTACCAGGGTGATTTGGACCTAGCTACATATAAACACACAGAGCTTAAATACACTACTATGGTGGTTAGATTTGATTAAAAAATTATAGACATTTGTCAGTTCAATTTATTTGACTGACAAGTGCAAGAGTTCCCCAAATTATGATCCTCTTACTATAAGTAGTATAGAGACAGATGTGCTGGGCCATTTTTTTTAAATAGCCTCTAATTTTATGCCCACTGTAGTGTCAGTTACTTGCAAGTGCAGATGGTACCTGATCCAAAGCCCATTAAATCTATCTAAAACTTACTTTAATTTCAGTGGAAAAACTCCCATTAACATCAGTGGATTTGGGATCAGGCTGTAGGTATCTAAATATTATTAGATAATTGCCCCCTCAGTTGACTGCAGAAACAAAATGTGGTCCCTTTATCTGTTCTGGAGTTTACGTACATGCACACGCACATAAATACATAGTGATGTAAGACAATAAAAAACCCATTGGGAAGAACACTGCTTCAATAATCTGTGGAGGGGTATCTGTTGGGGCAACCTGCTAGTATCAGTTAATTGGCTAAAACCCAAATGTAAGGCAGGGTGGAGTAAAGACTCATAGTAGAGGACACGTGAGAAGTAATATTGCAGGAACTGGACAGTTATGTGGAAGTAACTACTGTAGCTTACATTCCATTGAGAGTTTCATAATTTTGCACTGATTTTGTAAGTCACAGTGCTAACAGTGGGATAAGATCGTCTTTTGTGTAGCATTGGAAAAGGTGTAAAATTTAGGGATTCCCTGGTGGTGGGGAAGAGTTGAGACAACTCTTGACAAATCCATTCAACTACTTGCATTTTACAATTTAAATCAAGGATGGTGAGTGCTCTGGTGGAGAAGTATTTACAAAGCAAAGGAACTCAGGCTCAGCCCTTGTAAGGAGTGTAAGTACTGCGGTAGCTCTGCTTCAACTGGGGAGGGAGCTTGGAAACTCTGCAGGAGGCTGAGATGTAAGGGAGGAGGAAGACAGAAGGAAGACTTGGCAGAGGAGGGGGAGACAACCTTCCCATATTCACCTTCACTTTATATTCTACATATTGGTGGGGAGTGGGATCCTTCTGTCTAGTGGGCTACTGGGTGATGGTTTATCAAGAGTTGGTTGGGAAGTATGCTGCTAATGCAGATTATAATAATTTTATCAATACCCTAAGCATTGGGTGCAAATATTTCCAGTATGCCATTCAGAAAATGCGATCTCTGCAGCAACACAGAAAAACTATATTAGGGAAAGCAAACAACAGAAATGTAGGATTATTCTTGCCAGCATGCACTGGCTGAAGTGTATCAAGCAAAGCAGAACAGTTCTTTTTAGAAGGACTTAAAACCTACTTTGTGAAAACTTGGGGTGAATTCTTGTTCCATTGAAGTCACTGGAAAATTCCCACTGACTTCACCAGGGTCAGGATTTTATCCTGTATTCCTAACTTGGACCTGTGAACACATAAACAGATCCAGAGTTGAAGCTTGAGCCAGGGAATTGGAGCCCAGGATTTTATTACTTCAGCTGCAAGGTTTCAGATTAGAAAACCAAAAGCATTCTCTAATGCTAAAAGCTTTTACATTCTTAGTTACTTATTTTATAACTTGTATTGCAATCTGTGTCAAACTATTTAGTAGCTGTATGAGGAATTGAAGATTAGTCAGGGTGGGTATTCTGAATAGCTTTAAAGTGTCTCTTTTTTCCTTTAAATTCATTTTCCAACACCAGGGATCTGGTTGCAGGGTTGAGCTACCAGGGTATATGGTATAAGAATTCCGTTTATTCCAGTCATTCAGGGGCCTACTTTTTTCTCTTTATTAATTTGTATGGGGTGTGGTGATGATTTGTAGATCATGAAGAATGAAGAGAAGGGAGGACAGCATGGAGATGAGAAGCAAGTTTGCAATCTCTCTTCTCCTCCTCATGCTCTCTCCATCCTTTTAATTTACTGTCTCCACTGTTCCCTAGCATTTTACAATGTAGAATCCTTCCCACTCCTCTCATTTTATCTCTTAAAGCATTGATACCATATTCACAGAGAAAATCTGAATGTTCAAAGTGGAGGCAGGGATAGCAAGGCAGGAGACTTTTAAATCCATGAAATGACAAAGCAATAGATTTCTGCAAATGAGTGTGGTTGGATCTGAATGTATCTCCATACTGGGACGCACAATGCAGTTTATGCTGTTGCTTTTAGTTTTGGGTTATTCCAGCATGATTCAGAAATCATGAGCGAGGTCAGCCTAATCCTTCACAGAATAGTAGCTTACTTTCACCCTAATAAGTCAGAGAACTCCAGCTTCATGTGATATCCTGCATAAAAATTATTCCTAGACTTCAGAATTTTGTACTGATGCTAAACCTCGGCAATGGGAGAATATTGGAAGACCAGAAGGAAGGAATGTAAATGGGAAACAAAACATTTAACTGAAGCAGAACTTTAACTTAATTTCTTCTTGCTGAATGTATATATAAAACAAGAGAATATACCTCAATAATCATCCAGGTTTTTTGCCTTCAGCCTGTCTGAGGCCATGTGGTTTGGAGATCTGATCACTAGTCCGAAAAGAAAAGGCTGTTTTCAAGATTTCTGGGGTGTTTTTTCCTGGAAAAGGTGAGAGGATAAAAGCAGAAATCTGTGAAATACACTTTATGCCTTATAGGGCAAATATATACAGAGAGAGAGAGAGAGAAATGTTTCAAGCTGTTGCTAAACTGATTTGGAAGCAGGTATTTCTTTCATTTACCTCTCCAAGGGGTAGGTTAAAAAATAAATCTAAATTTCATACACGACTTGAACCAAGGAAATTGGATTTTCTTATTTATTTTGCTCTTTCGCATACACTTTTAGTATTTTCTGGAGTTATGCTTGGTATTTCTATCAACAATGAGAATTTTAACTACTGAGAAATGTCCGAAAACAAAGAAGGCAGTGTTTGAACATTCAAACAGCATTTTGTAGTAATCATGTTTCCTCAATACACCTCAAAACATTTTTCTCTGAACAATGCCTGTGTATTTTAGAAACAATTTATAAACTGGTATTTTTGGTGAGTTTGTCCAACAGCCTTCTTGTCATATAAACACTCCATTTCTTTATCTTTATGTTTATGCTGTCTTTCATTGTTCTCATTTTATCTTTAGTGGGCACTTTTTTGTTCTGTTTTTTCTCTTTCAAACTACTATCTCTTTCCTTTCATTTTATAAGGTTTTTCTATTCCATTTTTCTTTCCTGAGGTTCCTGAGGCAATGATTTTTGCAGTTTCATTTTTTTTTTGTTTTTAAATCTCTATAATTAAAACAAGTTTCTAACTACATTGATCATAAATATACTTTTGTATTAATTTGTACTTGTAATGGCATCACTAGAGGGCAGTATTGAATAAATAAGTGTGCTGAACAATGCTATGAGAAATTAGAAGCAGAAAAGCCCCTAGTAGAAACATACTTGCATTTTTTATTAAATATAAATACTTTTGGATTTCAGTTTTTATCAAATCCCATTTGTACAGGATAGAAAGAATCATAAACTTCATAATAAAGCATTTATTGGATCATTTTATATGTAACTTAATACAAAAGAAAGAGAATTCTGTAAAGTTATTAGAAAAATGGATGGGCGGGGGCGTAGTAGACAGTAACAGTTAAGCTGTTGTAAACTATTAATTCATAACATTGTCATAGAACTTTAATTTTTAACTAGACGTCATGGTTAAAATTTCATACAACAAATAATGTATATCGATTATATCAGTGTTGTTTCCCAGAGAAAATGTTTGTGGTAACAAATAAATATTTTCCAAATCATTAACTTCTTCCTTGGAATCTCTGTATGGTATATTTTGAAATAACGGACAGCAAAGATAACCAAAAGTGGAGAGTAAGATGTTGACTCATTTGTTCTTATTGATTTACAGGTCTCCTGACAAATGCAGCAGCAAAGAATCCTCGTATGAGTGGTCTAGGTTCTGTGTGAGCTACTTACCTTAGTCAAGTTTCACTGCTGTGGATCATCATCCATTATATGTCATCAATTCAACTGTCTGTTTCTCTATATCTCATAAAAGACAGCATAATTCCTCTACATTATGAGCTAAAAGTCTGTTCTACCATACTAAGGAGCATTGGACTAAGGAATATAGATATAAGAGATACGCTTGGGCATTAGCAATACACAAAGTTCCTGGTTAATGTTTCATCTGCGTTATACACCACTGCTGGACTCGATGTTACCTACATGTTTTGATCTGAAGAGTCTACTGCACTGAAGAGTATTCATCCCAATCAGCCTTAGAGAAGACTGTTTTGTCTATGGGAGGACACTGAGGTGCAAAAGAGAATCTCTTCTTGTGCCCTGGACTGTCTGAATTGCTTTTATTTTCTTATACTTTCAGTATATACAATAGACCAAAGAGCAAAATCTATTTTAAAGTGGACACAATCTTACTGTTAACAGAGCTATCTGGGTTAAATAGTAGGGTGGTCTCCACAAAGACATGATTTCAACTCTCACAAAGCTGAGATGTTCCTGTACAGCAGAAGTCTTTATGGAACACTGCAGTAAAAACTAAACTAGAAAATTACTCTTGAAAAACCACATTATAAACAACGAAATGGAGCATGGAGAGAAAATGGCGTATGTTTGAAAAACTTTGATGAAACAGCTACAAACTGTCTACATGGCACCTTTATTCCTCTGTACTTACATTGACTTTCTCGTACTAAAATCATTTTCAGTTTTAACCGGTTAAACATGCCTCTTCTACAGTTCCATTTTTGATAGTTAAAATTGGATAATACAGTATTTGCAAAGAGCATGTTTGGTCATCCGTGGCCTATGTCTCATCTGATACACCATTTAGCACCAGAAAGCAAATTAAAGAAAAAAAAAGTAACACTTGTTTGAAAGAGATCATTAAATGTATTTTGAAAAGCCTAAAGTTATATATTTAACAGTTTTTATATGTTGTATATTTGTAGAAAATCCTATTTAACAATTAACGTGATAACTCTGACGGTCATGACAAATGGTTCAGAGTTAAGTTGTGTTTTATTACTTCAGTTGTCTCTGAAGTGACAGGTGTCATTTGCTTTCTTCCATTAGGGCATTCTGGATGTAAAGCATGACCAGAGAGGATTCTGTAGAAAAAGCAAAGAATAATGTTGTTTATATTACATAAATGCATTCAACCATTGCACTGTTGGAAGGCATTTTTTTGGTCTTTATGTACTGGTAAAAATAGAGTGTAAAATATTTTAATCATGGCTTTCCATACCAAGTTATTTCTCTCTCTCTCTCTCTCTCCTTCTCCCCACCCTTCTCTAGATAATACAGTATAAAAGTAAATTTGCAGCCTGTTCCTTGACCCAGATTCAATGTTTTACCTCATCGTTAGAAAGCCCACTTTTTTGGCATTATCAGGTAGTGAAAAGTTAATGCAAAGACAGCATAGAAAAGAAGGGAAATGAAGATAAAAAGATCCCTCACTCCCTATTACTGTACCTTTCTATATATGTTTGGTACATACTGATATGATGAAATCAACAAATGAGCTTAACTTCTTCCTGGCAAATGTATTCCAGTTTTAACGATTCTCCAAGTTTCCACTGTAGTATACTACCTAATACTCCAATTAACTTTTAGTACTATGCTAGTTCTATGCTACTAAAGAAAAATATATAGAGACTGTTCAAGCAGCCATAGATAAAAAATACAAAAACAAAAAGTTATTTTTTTTGTAAGGCCTATTCCACTATTCAGGCTTATTTAATACACAGGTTGCAGAAACCATGAATTATAGGTGACTGTGTCTTTTGAGTAAAATAAATATATAAGAATTTCTTATTTAATCTTAAGTTTTTTGACCAGTATCAAAGTAGCAATTCCAGGCCAGCCACTTGAAAAGTGTTATGGACTGACTGCACTATAAATGACCGATGTCTGGTTTGAAATGTCATGCAATAAACGATGGTAAATACATTTACTGTACTACTAGAACTCAAGAGCCAGATCCCTCACTCCACCAATTTTCTGTTTTGTTTCAGTTTATTTTTAAGGGAGTGCAGTAGCCTTATTTAGTAAACACAGAAAAACTAAAGATGTTACATTTTTGTTGCTTTACAGTATTCAGTTTTGTGTTGGTTCAGCTAAATTATGGAAATAAAGAAAATCCTTTTATAAGTGAGACTTTTGTTCCCTGATCGTGATGTCACACAGAGAATTTCAGTAGAGGGTGCTTGCGGGTAGGGGAACAGAGAAGTAGATTCTCAAAATGAAATAGGTGAAAATGTTCAGTACTGGAAATTGAAATAATACCCTACATTTGCAAAATTCCTAACAGTTTTGAGCACTGACATTTTTGGGTGCCCAGTCTGAGACAAGCACCGAGTACCCATTCTCTGGAAATTAGGCCCCTTTAACATGTCCTCAGATTGGACACCCAAAATCACTGGTCACTTTTGAAAATTTATTCTAATATCTCTGTTTTCATTACTTTGAATGCTCAGCAAAAGAGAAAGATGTCCTGGTTTTTAAGGTCTGCTCAGGAGAAGTAACAAAGCAAGAAAAGTTTAGATTACTGGTCAGAGACATGTGTACATTCTAGCTAGAAATGGGCCTAGTTTGTGTGACAGCAGTCTCAAGCCACTCCAAAAGAGAACTTTTTCAGAATGTACATTTTCAAATGAACAAAATATACTGACTGGTTTTATAAATGTAAATTAGTGTCCTCAATGCTATGCTGAAACCTTTACCTTTCAGTGACATTACACTTTTACAGTATTGTGGGCTTCAAACCTTACGGAACTTGATTTCACAAAGAATTTTGATTTGTTTATGTGGGTATTTTATGTGCCTCTTCCACAAAGAAATTCAAAGCACAGGAGAGGCATGTCGGATTTGAATGCTGTTAAATATCCTCCTTTTCTCAGTTTTCAAATGGGTAACTTTTCAAAACACATGGAAAGGACGATAAAATATGAAAAGGGTAGAGTTAGAGAAAAAGGTCACCCCACAGTCTAACAAAAACAGAAATACAGAAAAATATAGAAAACCTTTCATATAATTTTCAAAAAAGCTTTTATTGTGAACAAAACTTTTTCTTTTTATTATTGTACAGGTTTTATGCACACAATGTTCTTTGGTCCGCTGCTTGTTTACTGAAAGTGTACCCACATGTTTTTGTGTAAATCTTTAACCCCCGCATTTTCTATGTAATATGGCCTAGTAATCATCGTCTTGAGTATTAATTAGAGTTCCTTAAGAAAATAAAGAATGCAGTACCATGGCTGAAGAATTGTACAAGCAGAATTAGCTATGTCTGAACCAAAAGGGAATACATGAGTTGGCTTAAAGCAATGGTTCCCAAACTTGTTCTGCCGCTTGTGCAGGGAAAGCCCCTAGCGGGCCGGGCCGGTTTGTTAACCTGCCGTGTCTGCAGGTTTGCCCGATCACGGCTCCCAGTGGCCACGGTTCGCTGCTCCAGGCCAATGGGGGCCGCTGGAAGCGACGGCCAGTATGTCCCTTGGCCTGCGCCTCTTCCAGCAGCTCCCATTGGCCTGGAGCAGCGAACCGTGGCCACTGGGAGCCGCGATTGGGCGAACCTGTGGACACAGCAGGTAAACAAACCAGCCTGGCCCAGCAGGGACTTTCCCTGCACAAGCAGCGGAACAAGTTTGGGAACCACTGGCTTAAAGGATAAACACAGCTCTGATAACAGGTGCAGCCAGGGGAAGATTCCTGCATGCAGGGGAATCCTCAGGAAGTGCAGAGTTCCTGTACCATCATCCTCGCTCCAAAACACTGATATTGGGAGCATGGGAAGTAGCTTATACCTGCTAGCATTTAAAGGGCCTTTGGCAACCAATGAAAATTAGAGCAGTCTTCAGGCTGCTCTGATTTATGCAGTGGATCAGTTTGGCACCCAGGTGGCCTCAGGATTGAGTCAGTGCAAAGGTGATTTATAGCCACCTATAAATTTATAGCCACCTGCAGACTGATGCTGAAATGTACTTGACTATACCAAGGAATAGTAGTAAATAATGGCAGTAAGCTGATAGTAGGAATTTAGAAAAGATTGCTTATAGGAAAGAATAATTACAGATGAAGATGACAGCAAAAATCATAGAGGTTAATGAAAAGTGATGAGTTAGTAGTATGTAGTATGTGCATATGATGATGGATATAACTCGGGCACTAACTTTGTTGGCATGTTACATGAATGTGTCTTTACACAAGGCCATTTTTAGAAGACTGACACCAGTGGAATGCAGGCATCGCCATATCAGATCAGATGAGTGGTCCATCTAGTCCACTATCCTGCAGATAATTCCTGCTAGAATCTCCTAATGACCACGTATGGAATAACCCATCCAAGTTGCTTCTGAACTTCAATCAGTTAGAGCTTGACTTATGCCCTGAAGCATGAGGGGGGTTATTCCTTATATATTTTTTGCTGCCTGATGTAACTGTTGGTGTTATGATTATCCATACAATTGTATTATCCATTTTTGTTTTGTTTTTGTTTTTAATTCTACTAAGGTCTCAGCCTCAATGATATATTGTGGCAATGAATTCCACAGGTTAAATTTGCTTTGTGTAAAAAAGGAGGTATGCCTCCTAAAGATACATGACACAATCCAGGCCAAGTCATGGACACAAAAAGGGGGACAATTCTGACTGTTTAGGGAGAAACATTACAGGATTTGACATGGGAATGTGAGTGTAAATCTAAACTGAAGAGACTTTAGGGATTGTCTTCACTGCATTGTTAGCTTGAGCCATAATTCAAGTGTTAGCCCTAACTAGACTTCCGTGCATGCACACATATCTCTGAATTGAGTTAAGTGATCCTAGCTTTAAGCTTGAACGAGCTGGCCTGCCAAAGGGGGCAGGTTGAAGCAGTAATGCTCCAAATGCTCAGGCTAGTAATGCAGTGAGGATGCAGCAGCCTGAGTTACAACTGCTAATCCAATCTCTCTGTGTTGCTCCACTGTTGTTTTGCAATGTTGTCACACTCACTAAAGCTAGGCTAGCTCGAAAACAGTAAGTCTGGTATACTAACTCGAGCACTGAGCAATAAAGACAAGCCTTTAGGCCAATTAGATTTCCCACTGGAATTATTAAAAGAAAAACAAAAGAGTCAGGAAAACTACAGCAGGGATTCTCCATTTCAGCTAGCTAATTGTTGATGTCTAAGTGCTAGGGGAGCCAAAAAGAGTAAAAACACAAAAGGGAAATAGAAAGTGAAAAGGATGCCATTTCATCTGCCTTCTGTACTGCTGCTAATAAGGTATATTTGTCGCTTGATTCATGTGTATAAGCCCCATGAAACTTGACAGCTATGAGGTGAGCGATAAAGTCCCATCATGGACTAAAACCTGGTTAACGATAGAAAATAAGTAGAAATAAATGGCCAATATTCACCATAGACAGAGATTAATGAGGGGCTGCTTCGGGGGTGGATCAACACAAGGGCCATTGCTGTTCAGTATATGTATTAACATCCTGGATGAGAGGGTGACCACTGTGATTATGTGGTTTGCTGGCACTACTAAATTATATAGGTTAGTAAAAACTAGGGATGAGTGTGAAGAACAGCAGAGGAGAAACTGTGTAACACAATGGCAAATGAAATTGATTATAAACAAGTGCAAGGTGGTGGAATGCAAGGAACAATTCAAACTACCTGTTTATTCAACTGGGTTCTCAGTTACTTGTGACCTCAAGGACTTATGGACTGCTCAGTGAATGTGTTTGCCCACTTTGTGGGTCAACCAGGTAAATAAGATGTTAAGCTGTTTTAAGAAGAGAACAGTGACTGCTCTTCAAAATGTGGTGCACACTGATATCTGTGTTGTCAAGCTGACTGTTGCACAGGTATGATCACTGCACCTGCAGTGAAGCATCTGTACTAGGGTTTGTATGCACTCATAAGGAGTCTCCAGCTGGCCTCAGGCAGGCCAGGGGGAGAAGCAATGAGATCCATATTTATGTGAATCCAATGGCATCAACTTGTGCAACTGGCATGGAGGGATTGCAGCTATTAGTACATAGACTTGGAACAGCAGGTGAAGCATGGAGGGAAAATTACAGAGGACTATGCAGCAACTCTATGTCCTGGCCCTGGTTGAGGGCTGGATGTCATTTCCCCAGTCCCTCAACATTTTGCCCACATAAAGCCTGATGACTTTGGCTCTATGCAGCTGGATCAGATTTCACCCATAGTGAAACACATCCACATGTCAGAAGGCAGCACTGTGCCAAAAGGAGCAATATGGATGAACAAGGAAATGTAAAGTGTAATCAGACAGAAGAAAATGCATATAAGAAATATTGAAAGGCCAGGTTCAAAGAAATACGAATGCAAACGATGTAAGAAAAACAAAAGTAGAAAGTAAAATGGAGTAAAAGAAATAAAGGCAAAGGATAAGAAATGTATTAAATGTAAAAGCTGGAAGGCATCTTCTAAGCCACTATGACAGAGGTGGGCAAACAACAGCCCACGGGCCACATCCGGCCTGCAGGACCCTCCTGCCCAGTCCCTGAGCGCCTGGCACAGGAGGCTAGCCCCTGGCCCCTGTCCCGCAGCCTCAGCTCACTGCGCCACCGGTGCAATGCTCTGGGCGATGGGGCTGCGAGCTCCTGGGGCAGTGCAGCTGCAGAGCTCAGCCTGACTCAGTGCTCTGTGCTGCATGGGGGTGTGGCTGTCTGTCCTGGTGTCGTGGGCAGCGCAGCTGGATAGAGGGCAGGGGAGTTCAGGGTGGTGGTCAGGGGCCGGGGGTGTGGATAGGGGGTGAGGCGGTCAGAGGGTGGGGAACAGTGGGGTTGAATGGGGGCAGGAGTCCCAGGGGGGCAGTCAGGAAGGAGGGAGGGTTGGATGGGGCGGCAGGGGTTAGTCAGGGACAAGGGTTCCGGAGGTGGTCAGGGGACAGGGAGAAGGGGTATTTGGATGGGGCAGGGGTCCCGGGGGGGCCGTCAGGAATGAGCGGAGGGGTTGGATGGGGCTGCGGGGGGCAGTCAGAGCGGAAGGTCCAGGAGCAGTCAGGGGACAGGAGCGGGGGGGGGGAGGGGGGAGAATGGGGCAGGGGTTCCGGGGGAGGGCGTGAGGGAGCAGGGGGGGTTGGATGGGGCAGGAGTCCTGGGGGGGGCATCGCGGGCAAGAAGCGGGGGGGGGGCAGGCCACAC